TGGGACACACAGGGCTGTACCGCCAATGTGGGGAGGTGTCTACCTCAGGATCTACAACTTTCTGCTCTCGGCGTTACAGATAATGCCATTAAGAAGCTATGCATAGAAAGCTACAGAAGAAGGACAGAACCTATTTCATTTGGGCCCAGAGTTAAGTGTTAGCGCACACCTCTCACAGAAGTCGGGCAGAATCCAAGTCCCTAACCATATGGGATGGGGCTTAGTGTGCACAATGGCCTGACACGTGACAGGCCTTCCCTTACCAGGCCCTGAAAGTCAGATGGCTGGGCTCTGCTGGGTCCAGCTGGTAGCTCCCTCTGTAGGTCACTGTGCTCCACGGGCACAGCCAACGTCAGGAACAGTGGCGACACTTCTGCAAGTCTGATTTAAGTAGACTGAGTTCAGCTACCTGGACCTGAGGGTCATTTACAAGCCTTTTGTATGTGTTAAATGGTTCAAAGCAGAGGCCCCCAGTGTTAGAAGAAGGAGATGGATCCTAGAGAGAACATGCAAGTCACCAGCCTCCAGATCCTCACAGGCTTCCTTCTTCATCCTCACATCTGCAGCAGAAAGATGTGCGCTGCTTTTCACTGTCCTGGTGGATACACTGCTCCTTGACCAACATGAGGTGGATGTCTTGAAACGACAAGGTCACATTTACTAAAGGCGCAGAAGGTGAGCATGGTGTGGGTGCTTGCAATGCCAGCCCTTGCGAGGCTGAGGCCGGAGGATCACAAGTTTGATGCCAGCCTGGGCTACGCAGTGAGCTCGAGGCCAGCCTGCACTGCACAGAGAAGCCCTGGTTCAAAAAGAAGGCGGAGAAAATGGAGAAGAATAAGGAGACGGAGAGGGAGAAACCTCAGTGGAAGGGAAGGGGAAGAAGGAATGGGAAACAGAAGGCAGGCAAAGGACGGGGAGGCGGAGGAAGAGGAAAAAGAAAGAGCAGGAGGGGAGAGGAGGAGGAGAGAGGACCCTAGATCATCCCACAGACTGACCACATTGGAAAATGTTGCACCACATGTTCATTGCATCAAGGGAATCGTGAATAGGGAAAGTGACCGTAAGAGCCAGTGGCATTTTCCCAAGTAGGAAATGGTGCCACCTTCAGTCACCAGCCTGTGGGTGGTGTGGGCAGGGGCGATGGGGGGAAGGGGCCCCTTTCATCTTCATCTTTTTCCCTCCTTTGTGGACGTGGGACAGCGTCTCGGTCCTTTCCCTCACCCCCGTCTCCCTCTGGGACTGTTCCCTCATCTGATCTGGTCCTCTTGTTTCTCTCATTTGTTAACTCTTTGCCTTTCTGCTTCCTCAGTTTCCTTTTCATATTTTCTTTAAACCTCTTTCTCTGTCTGCCTGTCTCCGAGGGCTTCTGTTTGTGTTTTTCCCACAATCACTGCTTAAGTTATGTTAGCCTCTGTTAGAGTTTGAACGTGCCATCCACACTTCAGCTGTTGGGAATGCAGTCCTCAGTGTACACAGGGATGGTATTTGAAGGTGGAGTTTCCGGGAGAATGGATCCTAGAGAGAACATGCAAGTCACCAGCCTCCAGATCCTCACTGGCTTCCTTCTTCATCCTCGCAATAGTGAGTTCAAGGCCAGCCTGAACTTCCAGTATATAAGGAAACGCTGTCCCAAAACACCCAAGAAAGGGGGACAAAGCCATACATATTTCCTGTAGTACCCCCCGTCAGCTTTCCATAATTCTGTATATTATGCACTTATCAAAACCAATTAAAGCTATAGCTTTCTGTTGAACCTCACCAGTTTTTTCGCTATTATTCTTTTTCTGTTTCAGAATCCTATCTAGGACTCCTCCTTACATTTATTTGTTACTGCTCCTTAGTCTCCTACAATCTCTGACAGTTTTTCAAGTTTTTCTTCTACTACTTTTTACACTGTGACGAGTACTGTTTGGATGTTTAGGAGGCTGTTCCTCAATTCAGTTTTGTTTGATGTATTTATATAATTAGTATAAGGTTTTGCATTTTTGACACAAATACCATAAAATAATCATATGGAAAGGTTCATATCAGAAGTACCTTCTATGGTGTCATTTCAAGAAATCTTTATTTCAGTATGTTACCTTGAGCACTTTGTGAAGTGATACCTACCAGGTATCTCTACCTTAAAGTTAACACCTTTCCCTTTCAGGTTAATATCTTGGTGATGATCCTTTGAAGCTATACAAGTCTTTTCCCCTCAAACCTAAGGCCATAATTCTTTTCACTTTCATTAGTTAATCTTGTCAATACCAATTAATACTGTAGTGTTTGATGATGTTGTTATGCCCTTTTCTTCTTTTTTTTTTTTTTGTGGTTTGAACTGCAATTTTTTTCCCCCCTCATTGAATTTATTGGTACATTTAGATACACAGTACAGTTACATTCATCATTGGGATCTTGTACCTTTACATGACAGGTCTTGTTCTCATTGTTTCCCCACACCCCTGCCCTCCCTTTACCCCCTCCTCCCTTCCCTAGTTTTCTTCTACATTTATTGCTTGGGATTCTTTTATAAACTGTGCCTCCATCTACCCACTACCCCCACTTACTAAGTCATTTGATTTATATCAGTGTGGATTCCCAGATGTTTAATTTTTTTCCAGTGAATTAAAATCTAACACTATCATTGTTAGATTGCTCAGATTATTCTACCTTTGACCATTAGGAACTCTTCGGTTGGCACCTGAGTTCTCAAATCTTTTTTTGTATACTTGCAATGTTTGTTTCTTTTGCACAAATCACAGACACATGTATATTGTATAGCCCTTTCTCACATGAAGGATGACATTCACCAGTGTACTTTTCTCCCGACAACAGTATGCCCTTGTACTATCTCAGTTTATAGGAATCTTCGTATTTCTTTTTTCCAGAGATATGGTATTCCGTTGTTTAGATGGAATGTTGTTTACTCAGCCACTTCCTGTGTATGGGCGTTTATGTGTCTCCTTGCTACCGACCGTAGGGCAGCAAACACGGGATTTCACGAGGAGATACAGGTTCTCTGAAAGGTGGGAGCAGGTTCAGCGATGACAGTCAGACAAAAGCACTCAACACCGAGGTGAAGTTTGCAAATGCTGCTGCAAAATTTATTTTTCAAAGAGCTTCTTTTATACAGATTTCTATTTCCTTATAGCAAGTCAGGGGCAATGAGCTGTTCTCTCTAGGCATCTATTTCCGCTTGCTGAGCTGGCGCCTGCCAAATACATCATTATAGAATACATTGTGAAAAGTTAGCAGGAGTTTAAGCTTTCTTTCCATCTTAGCTGATAATATGCCAGTGGCCATTTTTTCCCCAATGATTCATTGTTTCTCAGATGTTTGACAATATATGGTAATTCTGATGAAGTATCAGTAACGTCTGTAACATTACATGCTATTTTCCTGAGAACTATTTCCTTAAAAGAAATATTCCCCTCAAATGCACCTTCTGTTCAGTTATTATTTGACTGAGAAGGCTGTGTCCAAACAGTGACATTCTTATCCTCCATATCTTTGGGTACATCTAATCCTTCTCCTTCTTGAAAACCACTAGGCATTTTCAAAAAACACAAACACACAGAGATCAATAGAAAATAAATCAAAATTGTAACAGAACCCATTGTCCCCAAGCTGCAGGTGAAGAAACCAACGATTCCTTCTTTGGCTGACTTTTAATGCGGTGCGTGCCAAGGACATCCAGGAGGCTTGACCCCGAGGGGACGATGCCTCAGATCCGGTTTCCGCCAGGTGGTCGGCACTGTCACGCAGATTCCACTGGAGTGGTCGTGGCATCTCCTGAATTTTGCAGTTGCATCTAATGATGTGATCACTCTCTGTAACTTTGTATCATTGGAAGTATATCTGCAGGGTAATTCCTCCCAGTGGGACTGATGGACCATCTGCATGATTACTACATGATTTCTTTGAAACACAGTAAAATATTATTAAATCTGAAAAAAAAATGCTATGTGCCATTATCCCCATTGCACGGATAAGAAATCAAAGCAAAGAGAAATCACACAACTTGTTTCAGATTACTCTTCCCCAGGAAAATGCTAGAGCTTGGAGTCAAAGCCAGACAGTCCAGCTCCAGTGCCTGTACATTTAATCTCACATCAGCAATCTGGTTACCTTCGGTGATCAAGGATACTCCAAACATGGGGGCGGGCACAGGCTGTCCCACGGGATCTGATTTGAAGTTCTGCTTTTACTCATTAGGTAGTGCCAGGTGCGGCACGCCTGTAGCCCCAGCACTCAGTAGACTGAAGAAGGAGGATCACTGCAAGTTGGAGGCCAGCCTGGCCCCACAGTGAGTTCAAGGCCAACGTAGAATATATATAGCAGGCCCCTGGCTCAAAAAAATAAGGGCAGTAATTGTATGAAGGAGTTTCTTTTTGCTCTCTCAAATTTCTCTGACTAGTCAACTACATGTTCTTTTATAAGGGCAAGGCTCATGTCTTGTCTGCATTTCCCACGCTCGGAACAGTGGCAAGCCTTCTAGAGTTATGTGCGCACTGCATAAATCAATTCGATGCCTTATGTAAATAAAAATATCATGATTCTGTTCTTTGGAAGTTCTATTTGGCTGAAGACACTTAAATCCTATCATTATCATGATGAAATAATATTTACAAATATAGAAAGCCCAGTGTTGTGGGGCACGCCTGTAATCCTAGCATTTAGGAGGCTGAAGCAGGAGAATTGCCACGAGTTCGAGGCCAGCCTGGGCTACATAGTGAGACCCTGTTTCAAAGTATACAAACGGAGCAAATACAGAAAATATACTTCTGGAGTAACACGTGATTTTGTAAAACATCGTATGTAAATTCAATCGTATTTTTCTGATATCTTACATTATAAGATGCAGCCCTATGAAGCTGGGACCAGCAACAGCTGTCTTTTTAAACCACCTATAGTTTGAGGATTTCTGGTTGTTGTAACTACCACCGCAACCAAAACAGAACAGGTCGCTCACCCTAAAAGTTCTCTCATGCCTTTTGCTTTCACATATATATTTTTAAATCCCTGACAAAGCAAAGCCTCAAAAAATTAGTTAAGAACTCAGACTTGTTTCTCTCCTCGGAAACGTTTAGTAAAAGGCAACTGATTCAATCTGTAGAGAAACCAGAGTGTGTATGTAATTTTTAACAATGTCATAATTGCATACATAGTAGTTTTTTTTTTTTTTTTTTTTTTTTTTGGTACTGGGGATCAAACTCGGGTCCTTGCACTTGAGAGTCAGGGGACGGAACCACTGATCTAAATCCCCAGCCCACATAGTACTCTTTAACGCAAATGTTTCTCTTAAAATGCACTGAGCGTTTTCAGGCAATTAGTATGTTTCCATGACAATGGGTTTTTGTTTGGAGTCAGAGTCTTACACATGCTAAGCACATGCTCTACCACTGAGCTACAGTTTCCAGTCCTACAACATAATTTTAACAGCTATATAGCAGTCCCTCGAATGGCTGTTCAAATTTAATCAAAGAAGGGGAGGAGTAAAAAGAAGCATACAAACCGAAAGACAAAATTTAACCCAAGCCCTTTTTCATGCGTGCGTATTTATGTTTTCCTGCTCCCTCTTGGTGGAATTATTTTTCAACTACATTACTCTAGTTTTGACTTTTGTGTCTTTTTTGTCACCACTATGTCCTCTTTCTACCATTCCGTTGCTACTTCCCAACATCCTTTCATTGAATCTTTAGCCTGTCTTTGGGTTTTGTTGTCGCTTGTTTTTTGAGACAGGGCCTCGTTGAGTAGTTCAGACTGGCCTTGAACTCATGTTGGCCTCGAACTCCCAGTGATTCTTCCTGCCTCAGCCTCCTCCGGAGAGTGGAATTACAGGCACTCTGCACCTCACCCAGCGGTACTGCCTGTCCAAAATCTGCTCCTCTTCGCCCGCTCGGGTTGGAGCAGGTGCCTTCCTTGCAGTCCTGGGGCTAACACTTAGGCTTCCCGACTGCTCTCTTTACCATCTCCGGGTCCAATCCTGCGCTAAAGCTAAAGTGCTCCCATCAGGGCGGTCTCAGAGGTGAGGGCCGCTCCCACCGGGCCTCAGCTCAGTAGAACAAAGCCCCCAGTGACCCTCCAGACCCAGTCTGGTCCCTCCACTCGGAACGTCTTTCGGAACAGGCATTCTGCTCTCTCGCGAGGAACACCCGACAGACAACTCCTAGTCCAGCTGGAGGCGGCCCGCATGCCCACGTCGGCATCGCAGCCCCGCAGCACACCGCAGGCCGGCGCCGGGCCTCGGATC